TATGAATGGGTAAAGGGGGTTTTGGTCACACAAGGAGACTACTTTCTGGACCGGGTCATATCTCCTCCTTTTAAAGAAGTAGTTCAAGGAAATGGTGAGCCTACTTTTTCTTGTGTGTCAGAATTATTGATAAGAACCACAAAAAAGTTTACCTGAATCTCTGACATCAAAACCCAGTCACTTCATGAACAAGAATTGGCAAATTGTTTAAAATAAAATTTTTATGCAGGCATTTCACTGAGCAGTGGATACAAGTGGAGGAAGCAGCGCCATTTTACTGCCTTTCACCTGAAGGCCTTTGCAGAGGGCAAAAATGCTTTGGTGCATCACATACAACAAGAATGCATCTATCTGTGTCAGAGCTTTGAGGAAGAGCAAGGTGTGGTGCTGTATTTAGGCTTGTCTCTGGTAGTTTGCCAAATCCACTACTTAGGGCTGCAAATTTAAACTTTAAATTCAATGTCATTATTTACTCACTCATATATTGCTCCAAACTCCATATTTTGCTTAAAGTAACAATAATATTACTTGACAGGAAGCCCCTTCAACCCTCATGACATCCTAAACAATGCCACTGTTAATGTAATTGGATGTTTTGTGTTTGGGAAGCATTTTGATGAGAACTTCACTGACTTCCAGAACCTACTTTTCAATTCAGACTCCATGTTCATAGAAAATATTCCACAAATCCAGGTAATTTTTTGTCACTTTTTCTTCTGTGAAGTATAGAGGTTTTGTTTGCGAATACACTTATTTAAGCTAATCTTTCGTAAATGAGTTGACGTGGTATGCGGTAGGCTATAACGTTTACCATTTCTTACCAGATTATGTGAAATAAGATGATGTTAATGCAAATGTTCTGTTTTAATATATTTTTAGTTTTACTGTGCATTTCCTGGGATTGTCAAACGTTTCTATGGAGCACATAAGACAGCTTTATTAAACCATGCAAAGCTATCAGCCTTCATTAAGAAACAAATTGAGAAACATAAGAAGGATTGGGATCCTTTTGATCATCGTGATTTCATAGATGCCTACATTGGAGAGATAGATAAGGTAAGACAGTGAAGACTCTTTCACTGATTATTTATTGATTCCTAAAGTACTCTATGGCAAGCATTATAATATCATAGATTTTTTTGCATCTAAAGTCAAAACGAAATAATATTCACAACCCATTTTAGGGCTTGAAAAACTAGAGAAAGCTAAACAAAGTTATATGTTGCAATATAAAAGTTACATAGGTTATATTTTTGATAAGACAAACATTTTCTTTCTTTAGTATACAATGAAAACAGGAACATGCATTAAGAGAGAAGATTTTGATTTCATGTTGACTTTAAATTAGTATGAATATCAATCATAAGCTCTGCTATGCTTTGACAGAATGAGTTTTAAATCTGGTCCAGTGTGTCTGAATCATGGTTTTGTTTTAGAGACGGAAGGATACAGAGGCTGCTTTCACTGGGGATAACCTCTCCTGTATCACTGTGGACCTGCTTAAGACTGGGACGCAAACCATGACCGACACCCTACGATGGGCTTTACTTCTAATGATCAAGTACCCCAACGTCCAAAGTAAGTGAACTCGAAAACATCTATTCTGTGAAATCACCATATAGATTATATATGTATGTATGTGTTATAGTAATAGACTTAATGAATAGTTTAATGAATAGAAATTAAAATTTGCTCGAAATTTACTCACCCTTAGGCCGTCCAAGACATAGATGAGTTTGTCTCTTCTTTAGAACAGATTTGGAGAAATTTAGCGTTAAATCACTTGCTCACCGATGGATCCTCTGCAGTGAATGGGTGCCGTCAGAATGAGAGTCCAAACAGCTGATAAAAACATCACAATAATCCACAAGTAATCCACACGACTACAGTTCATCAAGTGAAAAGTGGCACGTTTGTAAAATGCAAACACATCATTAAGACATTTTAACATTAAAACAATTACTTTTGGCCAAAAATATGAGTCCATAATCCATAATAATGGTTCCTCCAGTGAAAAAGTCCATGCGCTGTTGTCATCTCACATCAAAATCCAACAACATATTTGTTTAGAACTGTTTTGGACTGTTTTCGGTTGTTAATGATGATTGATCTATGCATATTTCTCTCCTGGGTCAGACGAGATGACTTTTTCACTGAAGTAAGCTTTATAGACTCATAATTTTAGCTGGAAGCAACCATTTAAAACATCTGAATGATTTTGTTTCTTACAAACACGCAGCTTTTGGCTTCACAAGGCATTAACTGATGGACTGGAGTGGTGTGGATTACTTGTGGATTAATGTCATGTTTTTATCAGCTGTTTGGACTCCCATTCTGACGGCACCCATTCACTGCAGAGGATCCATTGGAGAGCAAGTGATGTAATGCTAAATTTTTCCTAATTTGTTCTGATGAAGAAAAAAAATTCCTTTTCATCTTTGGTTGGCCTGAGGATGAGTACATTTTCAGAATGTTTTCTTTTTTTGGGTGAATATTAATATAATTCATGATGTGAGTCACAATAACCTGTACTATATGTGTTTGTTAACATAGCCACTAAATTGTATGATTGTTGTCATTTTTCACAGAGAAAGTTCAAGATGAGATCGACTGTGTAATTGGGAAGTGGCGGCAGCCATGTTTGGTAGACCGAGCCAGTATGCCTTACACAGACGCAGTTCTTCATGAAACTCAGAGAGTGAGCAACATCTTCCCTCTGACTGCGCCCCGTCTGACAAGTCGCGACTCAACACTGGCTGGATACTCCATTCCTAAAGTACTTCTGCTCTAGTGTTGTACTGTTGTTGTACTAATGAAATTTGCCATGGAAGCACTTCTTGGATTGTTTTCTCCTTCGGGATAATTGCTTTTGCTTGTATTTATTTGCTTTAGGTAATTTGTAAATTGCACTGGGTATGTCCAGTATTGCAAACTTGAACAAGGTTTGTATGGAAAAGTGTTTCAATGTTGTTAATGAGCCTGATAAAATCAATTGATTCATTTTAATATTGGTAATAAGTGGATCAAATATTCATATTAGTTTGAAAACCCTGATATAGATTAATACCCCTTATGAAAAAGAAGTGCACTTAATTGTGTTTAATGTGCACTTATAGTTGTAGTCAAATCTTAAAAGTAAATTTTCAAGAATTGCACTTGCAAATAATATAATATTAATTAAATAAAAGGCCAATTAAGCGTACTTAAAGATAAACACTGTCATGATTGTTTCTTAACACATTTAAATACGCTTAAAAGTTTTACTTTAAAGTACATTTTAAATCATTGTTTTAGTCATTTTTACAGCTTTAAAGGAGTACACTTATTTTGATGTATTGACTAACATAAAGCATATGTACAGTACTTGATTATAATTTTAACTGCAGTGTTTTATACAACATTACATTTAAAGTTAATATATGTTAAATGTACTGATTTGCAACTTCACCTTTACAAATATGTAACTACAAATATATTTAAATATATGACACGCGTTGAAATAGAAATGACATCAGTTTACATAAATACTTGTTAGTATATTCGGCAGTACACTTGAACCATATTTCAAAGACAATAATAGTGATTATGAAATTAGATCTGAAGATGCTTACTTATGTCCTATTAGGTAAAAAAAAAACATAATTATATTAATTGCATTTAATATGAATTTTAACTATAATAAATTTTCATTAATTGTAAATAACATGCAAACAACATGCATGTGTCTGAAAACATCACATTCAGCTCACACTTAATTATGTTCTATTAAAATACATAATTTCCGTAATAAGTGCTCATTGTAAAAGTATGCTAAAGTATACTTCTTTTTCACAAAGGGACTTGCTTCATAGATATGGACGTTTGGCCTTGCGCTGATCAAAATGCAAACTCTGGCATGTTATTACATACTGTAATTATATGAGTATTTTTTTCTCCGTTTCCTTTCACACAAGGGCACACTGGTCATCTGTAATCTCTCATCTGTGCTAAAGGATCCATCACAATGGGAAAAACCAGATCAGTTTTATCCTGAACACTTCCTAGATGACCAAAGGAATTTTAGGAAACGGGAAGCATTTTATCCATTTTCGGCAGGTAGACTTTCATTGTATTTCACTCACACTTACAAATGATGTTTTAATGTAAGATGACGTGTGCATACATGTGTCCTGCCTTTACATTTGTCCAGGGAAAAGGTCATGTCTGGGTGAGCAGCTGGCACGAAATACACTCTTCCTGTTCTTCACTTCCCTCCTCCAGAGGTTCTCATTCTCAGCTCCTGAAGGACTAGCACCTCGCTTTAAGGACCAGGAACAGGTCAAGACGTCCCAAGAACCCTCCCAGATCTGTGTGTCATTACGTTGATAGAAACTATAGGAATCCCATCTGAACTGATACCGAGTTCTATTAATAGATGGATGTTATGTTAATACATGCAGCAAAATGCAGTCAACATGCAGTACAGTGTTTTGATGAAATAATATATCTTTGCATATAAATCTCTTTATCTCTCTCTATCTAACTGTCTAACTGTCTACAAAATGTATTTGATAGTGATGAAGTATTTGCAAGGACATATGCGTTATTAATATAATCATTATGTTTTTTTATGTTTAGACTGCAAAATGTTAATACAATGCAAATGTGAAAATTATGCTAAATTGTAGCATGTGATTGTAAGATCCACTTTATTCCCCAGAAACAAAGAATGAAAAAATACCCTGTTGACTTATACACAGTAGAGATTTTCCTGTATTTCCGTGATATTGTACAATTGCTATATATTTTGAAAATGATATCCCTTGTAAAGAGAACATCATTTTAAGATCATTTTGAAATTAGGTGGGCGCAGCATTATAAACATCTGATAAGGTATCACCACCAGATGGTAGTAGAGCAGCTCTTGAGACCAAACAAACTCTTTAAGACCCCCTCTTTCTCTCTCGGTTTACTTTTGAGCAACAGCAAGTTTCTGCCAAAAATGCAGATTCGTTGTGTTGTTAAAAGGCCAGAGACATTGCAGTCGCGCTCGTGACAGTACTGAAGCAAGCAAGATGATTTCTGCCCAAAGTGGACACACTCATGCTTTGTCGTGAAATCTGAGTTTTTGCTTTGAAAAATATTCTAGAATCGACTTATAGGTTCAAGTATCAGAGCGCTGCGTCGGAACTTTGGCAGCGGGCCGTTGGTTTCCTACTGCACGAAACCAACGCATAAAACAGACATTTCACCTTGGACTAACTAAAGTAGAGTTTTTATTTTTTTATTATTGGTGTATTTTACGAGTTTAATGAATGTGCCATGCCGTTTGTGGAGTTCGTCGCAGGATGGATTTCAGGTAATTCTTAACTTTGGCTTTGGAATTCTTAACATGTCTGGTTGAAATACATAGCTAATAGATGACTTTGAATCAGCTCGGTTTTATTAGCCATTAACTGAGAAGTTATAAACATCACGGTAGTACCATGATATTCTTTACGACGCCCCTCATACCTCATACGTGTAAAGTGTATGAATATGTTGGTAGCTCAAGACAACAGGTAAATAAGAAAACATTTAACTAATAGATTTCATCATACTTTCATCAGTTGATAACATTAAGACATTTTGTATTGCAAGTTATCTGAAATGTTATGATTAAATATAAAAATATGGCATAATCTAATTAAATAGGCACTATAATTTGCATACATTTCCAGAAGAAAAATTTGACCATCGGATAAAGCCAGATTCAGCTTTGTTGGTTCATTTTGATGATATAAATAATAATGATAATAAAAGTCAAAAATAAAAATCACCGTGTTTGGTGAACTTTCGCCAATTCATCCCTTTGTAAAAAACCTTCAGAACAGATAGAAATTACTGTTAAAGTCCCCATGAAATCAAAATTCAAGTTTTTTGGGTGTTAGTATCAATATGTTAGTCTTAAGGTTATCTATAAGGCAGTGTGCTCCAAAACAGTGGCAAACTTCGCATTTAGAAGATATAAGCATTCAAAGCTTGCAGTTCGTCACTTCCGCCAAAACGGCTGAACGATTTTTTTGACGTCACATCGTACTTCAGCTTCTCATCAAACTTTCTGTCCAATCAAATGCTCTCTAGAATCCGAAGCGCCCGCCCCCTACACTATAAAATAGACGCTGAAGCCGCGGCTGAAATTGGTCACTTGTCCACAGAATTAGTATTTTCTGTACAGTGAATGGCACGTAGTGCACTATATAGGGGACAGGGAACGATTCAAACAGTGTAAATATGCTTTCCATTGAGGAAAAAAGAAGTCTGGTTCAGAGACACAATAGGTGCGTTCGACTTCATGCAGCAATGCAAACCGATCGGCGGCTGACTTGAAGCAGTGCATGCCAGTTAGAAATTGTGTCCGACTTGAACTGGCGCCGACGCCACGTCACTGTCACGTGTGGCATCAAAGTACCGCGATAGTGTTTCGAGAGCAGCCGGCTATCGCAAGCCGTTTTAGCATTTAAAACTTTAGTTTGACTATCCGTAAATATCATTTAAGATAGGAACAATTGTATTTTGACGAGTCATAATTATAATTCGACTAGTCACAATGACAATTAGAGATATCTGCAATTATAATTGCACCAGTAAGAAATCGGATTAGAGATATGTACTCTAAATGAAAACATGAAAAATAGTACAAATAAATGCATGACGGACAAGAACAATGCTTCAGAATCAGATGCAGTCAAAAAAGGAAGAAGGCTGATTTTAAAAAGATAACAATTTAATAAAAGTTGTATAAAACTGGCATTGATGACATTTATTAGTAAGCCTGTGAGTCCAGCAGGGGGTGCTCACCCTGTGGTCTGTGTGGGTCCTAACGCCCCAGTATAGTGACGGGGACACTATACTGTCAACAAGCACCGTCCTTCGGATGAGACGTTAAACCGAGGTCCTCCTGACTCTCTGTGGTCATTAAAAATCCCAGGATGTCTTTCGAAAAGAGTAGAGGTGTGACCTCCGCATCCTGGCCAAATTTGCCCATTGGCCTCTGATCATCAGCCCCATATCTGCTGATTGGCTTCATCACTCTCTCCTCTCCACCAATAAGCTGGTGTGTGGTGGGCGTTCTGGCACACTATGGCTGCCGTCGCATCATTCAGGTGGATGCTGCACACTGGTGGTGGATGAGGAGATACCCCCTGACAATGTAAAGCGCTTTGAGTGCCTTGAAAAGCGCTATATAAATGTAATGAATTAAAATGAATAAATTAATTAATTATAATTAATTAAACTGTAATTCATCAATGGCTGCAAAATGGAGTCAATCCCATAGACTCCCCATGTTAAAATGCCCAACTTTACAGCAGAAAAAAAACATGTTTATAGCCTGGTTCAAAAAGTGAATTTGGTCTATATAGCTAATTTTGCCCTTCATGACAACTGTGAGGGGGGTGAATTTTTTTATAACTCATCCGTTTAAATTATTATTAAGCCTTAAAGTTCTGCATAATTAAGGGCGTGGCCACTTGAGTGACTGGTGGATTGCCGCTGCTGTCACCACTGTCAAGCTTGGTGGGCGTGGTTTCACCAACCTGAGCCCGCCTCTTTGCCCATTTTCGATTATCCGGGAGTGACGTGCGGTGACGCGCTGCCAAGATGGCGACGGCCCACTCCTCCCACTTTGAGCTTCAAAAACGCTGTTCGGAAATCTACGGGTGACAAACACGACGTCCATGTTTTTATACAGTCTATGGTTTTTAAGCATTTCAGGGGACCTTTAAGTTTGGTGTATGCAAGGGGAGGGGGAGGGGGCTTTTAAGATATGTACTGTAAAGAGTGACAGACACAAATAGAAAAAGTTTAATAAAATAATCACTTAAATGTGTATTTTATATTTTCTTTCCACTAGTCTTAAAAAAAAACAAGATATGGAAATATGGATCCAAAAAGGTCAAAATTGAACAGAGCATGAAAAAACAATGGTTTTGCCTGTAATATATTGCCTTAACAACTAATATGATTTCTTCACAAATGGTACAGCTGCAGTACTCTTTGTACAAGGTTATAAGAAATTTAGTCATTACTCTGTTACTCTATTATAAATGTTTCATAATATCAGACTGCAAACTGTTCAATGATTCACGAATGTTTAATCATATGTGGTGTCAGGTGCTGTTGGTTTAGTTGTTGGTCACCCTTTGGACACAGTAAAGGTGAGTTTCTTTGATAATAGATTTAAAGTATGTGTGATTTGCTGGTTTTCAGTCACTGACACTACTAATGCAGTTGATGCCTTTATTATGGTCATAGGTGCGCTTGCAGACCCAGACTGTGTATAGAGGGATATTTGATTGTGTGGTCAAAACATACACACATGAAGGAGTAAGTTATCAAAAACTACATTTTACATATACTGTAAATGCAGTACATATACAAATTTGTGCTCAAAATGTTTCATACATTTGGTAAATATAATCAAAGGCGGCTGTGAAAATAAATCTGCATTGTTATTCCTTTTGAGCTTTTATTTAAAAAATTTACAAAACTCACTTTTCATTGGAGAATAAGAATTTAAAATGGGGGGGGGGGGGGGATTTCAATCAATCACTCCAGACCCTTCAGATTTTCAGGTCCATGTTGGTGCTTCTCCTTTTCAGTTCACCCCACTCATTTTCTATAGGGTTCAGGTCAGGGAACTGGGATGGCCATGGAAGAAGCTTGGTTTTGTGCCCATTTTTGTTTTGATTTTGATGTTTGTTTTTGGATCATTATCCTGTTGGAAGATTTAACATTAGTCCATTATAAGGTTTCTAGCAGAGGCAGTCAGTTTAGATTTTATATCCGTTGGTATAGAATCCATATAGGTATTGGTATAGAATCTATGATGCCATGTATCTGAACAAGATGTCCAGGATCTCAAACAGAAAAATAGGCCCACAACATTAAAAATTCAGCAGTATATTTAATTGTACACATGGGGTACTTTTTTATCCCTGTGGACACCAAACCCATCAAACCCACCCAGTGTTTGCTGCTAAAATGCTCATTTTTTTGTTTAATCTGACCATAACAATTTTTGTTCCAGTAGTGTCTAGCAAATGAATGCTGGAGTTTGTTTTTGGATGACAGCATTTTATTCTCTTGATTTATTTTTGAAACCCTCCCAAACAACGTGGTACTGTTTGATCTTTTTTTTTTTTAGGGTTTATGACCCTGAGACTCAAATATTTTCTGCAATTCTCTAGCTGTGATCTTTTGGCCACTCCAACTATTCTCCTCACCTTGATAGACAAAATAAACATGTCCTCTTCCAGGCAGATTTGTAGCTTTTTCTGTTAATTCTTAATTATTGCCCTAATGGTGGAATTTTTAATTCTTTAACTCTTTTCTTACACCCACTTTCTAATTTGCGAAGCTCAACACTATTTTGATGCATATCAGAGCAATATTCTTTGGTTTTACTCATTGTGATGAATGATTAAGGGAACTTGGCCTATGCTTTTATGGTTTCTGTTCATTTGGACTTTGAGTTTTTATCATTTTCTCTTGTGTTTGTTGTCATGGTTCCTGATTTGAGTTTGTCATTATGTTCAGGTGTGTCTTGTTAAATATCCTCATTTGGTCTGCGTACTTAAGTTTCTCTCTTTTCAGCTTCAGTTGGTCGGTTATTGATGTTTGTACCTTACGTGTGCTGGTTATGGATTACCTGTGTTTTGAGGAATAAATACCCTATTTGAATTTAACTTCTTCTTCATGCGCCTTCAGTCTATCTTCAATCTAGCAGCTCCATGACAGAATAATCGACCAGAAAGGAACTAAAGTGAAAGATTTACCCCTGTTTATTTAAAAAAAAAAATTGTCAGTGTTTTTGTTTTCCGTTTCCCTATGGATCACTTTTACCTGCTTTGCCTTGAGCAGGGGAACCGTGGAAGAATTCCTAGGTCTCACCCACCTGACGACCTTCCTGGACGACTGCCTGAGCATGTTCTTACACACGTTCTGAACACTGCTACACATGTGCAGTTGTCTGGGGAATGTCCTCAAGGGTGCTTTGTGGCGTATGTAGAGTGGGTGCTGATGTCCTGTGGATCGCTGCTCAGTGGTCATCGCCGACGACAACACCAGCCCCACTCCAGACCCAGAGCCCAGCCAACCATCACCCCGCTGTGCGGCGCGTCAGCCACAGCCCAACGCAGAGGGAGAACCAAAGCCCGTCACGAACGATGAGCCATCGCCAGAAAGAGCGACAGAGCTGAGGATCACCCCGAAGCCAGAGCCTCATCGATCATCTCACCAAGTGCTAGAGATGCGACAGTTGATGAAACGGTGGAGAGTGAGGGCGCAGAGAAAAGGGTGAGCTGAGGCAGGACTCAGAGGATATAATAGACTTTTATATCTCTGCCTGTCCTGTACGGCCAAGAAGGCCGTTTATGAACTCTCTGTTTGTCCTGAAACGACCATGGAGGTCGCTCCCCTGTCAGAGGCGCTTCATGTAATGGGAGTCACCATATTGTGTGTCTGGGACATGCACGCCCCTCCCGAAGTGGTGGCGTTCACCTTGGAACTGTCTGTCTGTCCCGTCATGACCAAGGAGGTAGTTCCCCTACACTCTTAAAAATAAAGGTGCTTCAAAAGGTTCTTCAAGCGATGCCATAGAAGAACCATTTTTGGGTCCACAAAGAACCATTCAGTCAAAGGTTCTTTAAAGAACCATCTCTTTCTTACCTTTTTGTAATCTTACCTTTTTGTAATCTGAAGAACCTTCTTTCGCCACAAAGAACCTTTTGTGAAACAGAAAGGTTCTTCAGATGGTAAAGGTTCTTTATGGAACCATTTAGACAAAAAGGTTCTTCTATGCCATCGTGAAGCACCTTTATTTTTAAGAGTGTATCCGCTGCACTCTCTGTGCTGGGAGTTGCGCTTTGGTGTGTGTGGGCTGCATAAACCTGCCCAGAAAACCCTGTCTGTCATGAATTCCCACCCAGCCTCTCTCTCCCACCTCCTCTTATGAGCCATCTGCCATCTTCTGCCCCGCTGGCGCTGCATCCTGCCAGTCCCTCAGCTGTCCATCTGTGGAGCAGATTTGCTTCGGGTCTGTCAGTCTCCAGCTCCACCGTGGTCAGGGGATCCCCGGTCTCCATCTTCAACCTCCAAGACCCGGACTCCGCCTCGGCCCATCGACCCAGCGGCTCCACCATGGCTCACAGCTCTAGCCTGAGTGACAGTGTCTATCACTGCCTGTGATAGGCCACTAAAGTCTGCTGCGTCCAGTCAAGAAGCTACACGTGGAGGTTCCAGGGATTCCCGAGAAAGGGGAATATGCCAGGAAGGGGCTGTCACAAGGAGCATCAGGTTTGAGAACCAGGTCTGTGTGGGCCAATAAGGTGCAATCAACAAAACCTGCTCCTCATCCTTCCTGATCCAGCACACTGTCTGTGTCTGTGCAAGGAGGCTCACTGGGGGAACTGCGTACTTGTGCAGACCCTGGGGCCAGCTGTGTGCCAGTAGATCCATTCCAAGGGAGGCCTCGGGCTCCCAAGTGAGGCCCCATAACACCAGTATCAACGTAACGTCGAACGAGATTCACTGAAAGGGAACAGTAGTTCAAAACCAGCACTGTATAGTAATTCAATGTTTGACACAATTTTAATGCTTCTTCATGCTACATGTGGATAAACTAACTATGGATACATTTACAACTCTATACTGTATAGCTCTATATATAGTATGTATTTACCTACACAGTTTGCTTCTTAAGTTTACAAAACTTGCAAAATAATAGCTCTTACTTAGTACTGCTCTTGTAAAGCTAAATAACATTTTACATATTTACCACTAGACAGAACACACCCATCATTATATTCAAAGATTTACATCCCCTTGGTTACAAATATAGTGTGTTACCTTCTTGAGCATCAGTGAATGTTTGCACCTTTTGTGAGTTGCATATGAGAAAAGATGGATTTCAACATCATATAGACAGTTTTTAAAGAGCTCAAATGTGCAGAGGATGCTGGTAAACCCAAGAATGTGCAGGTCCTGGATTTTTCTGATGAACAGGGCAGTGTCACTACTCGCTACTCAAGACAAAAAAGAGACTTTTGAACCACTATCACAAAAACATGCAAACATTAATCCAGGAAGCAACACACCATAAGGGAATGCAAACTTATGAACAGAATACTTTGTGTACTTTATTATTTTGTCTTGTGGCATAAATGCGAAACATATCAGGGCAGTAATATATATATATATATATATATATATATATATATAAAAGAATTTCAGCTTTGCCATGTAGGGATAAATTACATTTTAAATATATTAAAAAAGAAAGCAGTTATTTAAAATGTTAATAATATTTCATAATATTATTGTATTTTTGATCAAATGAATGCAGCCTTGGTGAGCAAAAGAGACATAAAAACACTAATGGTTGTGTATGCATAAACATTTGCATTACATTGCATTTTACATTTAGCAGACACTTTGTGCAATTAAATGAGCAATGATACACAAGTGCTATAACAAGTTTCAGTTAGCTTAACGCAGTACACGTAGCAAGGTTGTAAAATTATATAATAAATAAAAAGAAAATGGGTAGAACGGAAAAATAATAGAGCAAGCTAGTGTTAGAGGCCCCTTTTGCTTTTGTTAATTGTATAATAAAAATAAAACAAATAGAATACCAAAAGAATATAGAAGCTAGAGTTAGTTGTTTTATCCTTTTAAGAAAACAAACAGTAAATAAATAGAGTGCGTCTAAAAGGGGCCAGTTAAAAAAATATATAATTAAAATAGAAAGTGCTAGAGTTAGATGGTCAAATAAAGATGGAAGAGATGTGTTTTTAGCCGATTCTTGAAGATGGCTAAGAACTCAGCTGCTCGGATTGAGTTGGGCAGGTCATTCCACCAATAAACGCTTATGTTTGTTAGAAAAAATTTTATAAGTTACCTCTGTTTCTACGAAACGTTAATCACTTGAATGACAGATCTTCTTTTTGCCTTTTTCCCCAGTTTCGTGGATTTTTTAAAGGCATGTCATTTCCTGTCGTCTCTGTTGCCATTAGCAACGCTGTGGCCTTTGGTTCATACAGTAATGCGCTGGATTACCTTACTCGGTCAGGTCACAACAACTCTGACCAAAGCAAGCGGTCATCACTCACTGCTGTGTTCATGGCTGGGTGTTTTTCAGGGTTAGCACAGGCAAGTCTGGGCATCAAGCCAGCAAAGTCCAAAACAATCTAAAGCAACACATTGCATGTCACTAATTTGTGCTAATTTGATCCACTCTCACAGTTGTTTGTTTCAGCGCCGATAGACCTGGTTAAAGTGCGTCTGCAGAACCAGACGAAGTCCGGTAGGAATAAGTACAGAGGCCCCATACATTGTATTGCTGTGATCTTAAGAGAGGACGGGGTGAAAGGCCTTTTCAGAGGAATGTGGGCTCTTGCCCTGCGCGACGTGCCTTGTTTTGGACTTTACTTCCTGCCATACGAGCTGATCTGCATGATGCTGACTGAGAAAGGGAAGCAACCAGGTAATTGTGCATAAACAAATGTTAGTAAATTGTATTTGTAAGTTTCTATTTATGGCTGTATATTATATACAATACTATATAGAATATGTATATATTAGATTTGTAAGTTTATATTTGTGGTATATTGATTTATGAAATATTCTGAAATATTTGGTAACACTTTACTATAATGTCCCATTAGGTTACATTAATTCATACAGTGGTTCCCAACCCTGGTCCTGGAGGCACCCCAACACTGCACACTGAGAAAGTCTCCTTTCTCTGACACACCAGTTTCAGGTCTTGCCCTGCGTTCCATTCGGAAGGGCTCATCCCTATGCCCTAATCCCTTCAAAGGGTTTACTCTCCGGAGTGAGAGCTTTGTAGGGTTGAAGGGTGTAGGGGACCAAACAACTGTTTCTTGAAGTGCCCTTGCCCACATGGAGGTGCCATCATCATGCAAAGGATCACGTGGGCCCTTTGAAGTGGCCAGTTTTGAGCACTTCGGTTTGGAACGACCCTTCAATATGGCGGCCATGATTGTTTTCACTCCGAAAGTGCCCTTTGGAGGGCAATATATCCCATTTGGAACGCACCGTTGGAGTCTCTACTAATGAGCTGATGACCTGAATCAGGTGTGTTTGATTAAGGAGACATGCAAAACATGCAGTATTGGGGTGCCTCCACGACCAGTGTTGGGAACCACTGAATTAATGCATTAACTTATTTTTGAAAAGGAAAGGACAGAACAGGACATGTGGCCAAGTATGTTGTCCCATACTTGGAATTTGTGCTCAGCACAAGTACACAGCAGTGAGTAGTGAACTAACATGCACACACACCCTGAGCAATGGGCAGCCAATGCTGTGGTGCAGTTGGGGGTTTGGTGACTTGCTCAAGGGTCTCACCTCAGTTGTGGTATTGAGGGTGGAGAGAGCACTGGATGTTCACTCCCTCCACCTACAATCCCTGGTGGAGACTTGAACCCGTGACCTTCGGGTTACAAGTCCGACTCTCTATCCATTAGGCCACGACTGCCCCAATATAAAGTTGCACCACACGAGACTCGGACCAACAATCTCCAGGTCAAGTGCCTGTCGTCCATCTTGTTGCACCACTGGGAAGACAACTTACATTAACTAACAATCATAAATCTTGTTTGTACCAGTCATCTTTATTGTTAGTTCATGTCAGTTCAGGTCCATTAACTAATACTAAAAACTTTTGATTTTAATAATGCATTCGTATTGTAATGTTAAAGTAATTAGTAAAGTAATGTTAAAATGAACATGAACTAAGATTAATAAATACATTTACATTTAAAATAGGTTTTAAAAATGTATTTATATTTATGGTATATTAATTTTACCTATAATATAGTAGCTTATATGCAATATTTATATTACATTCGTACGCTTGTAGTTATGGCTGTATGTTATATGAATTTAAATATTTTAAATGATACAAAATTATAAAATATGAATTTATATTTACAGTATATTCACAATAGAGTATTATGTTATAATGTTTCACTCCCTCCACCTACAATCCCTGGTGGAGACTTGAACCCGTGACCTTCGGGTTACAAGTCCGACTCTCTATCCATTAGGCCACGACTGCCCCAATATAAAGTTGCACCACACGAGACTCGGACCAACAATCTCCAGGTCAAGTGCCTGTCGTCCATCTTGTTGCACCACTGGGAAGACAACTTACATTAACTAACAATCATAAATCTTGTTTGTACCAGTCATCTTTATTGTTAGTTCATGTCAGTTCAGGTCCATTAACTAATACTAAAAACTTTTGATTTTAATAATGCATTCGTATTGTAATGTTAAAGTAATTAGTAATGTTAAAATGAACATGAACTAAGATTAATAAATACATTTACATTTAAAATAGGTTTTAAAAATGTATTTATATTTATGGTATATTAATTTTACCTATAATATAGTAGCTTATATGCAATATTTATATTACATTCTTACGCTTGTAGTTATGGCTGTATGTTATATGAATTTAAATATTTTAAATGATACAAAATTATAAAATATGAATTTATATTTACAGTATATTCACAATAGAGTATTATGTTATAATGTTATTTTTATGTATTATATGTATAGAATATTATATATTAGTATATTTGTAAGTTTATGGCTGTATATTATATGTATGAATACAGCTCATTCATCATTAGGACTGATTATTTAGCAAAGTTACTAAATAGTTTGCAAAATGCATGTTCAGGAGCCCCACACATTTTCACTGATAAACCGAGTAGTAATATGAAGATGTGGTCTTCAGGTAACACTGCTGTCCTGGTGGCCGGTGGTGTTGCTGGCGTGGTCACATGGGCCTGTGCCACCCCCATGGACGTGGTGAAGGCTCGACTGCAGATGTGTGGCGGTGGCGGTCGCATGTACAGCGGTGTGCTGAACTGCATTACTGTGAGTGTGCGTGAGGAGGGCATGCGGGTCTTCTTCAAAGGCCTTCTTCTGAACAGCGTGAGAGCGTTCCCTGTGAACGCCGTGACCTTCCTCAGCTTTGAGATGCTGCTGAGAGCCATGACCGACTCACCTCAGGACTAAGGGACAGCTGCAGGATGATGAACTTTTGTAGGCCAAAACCCGGAAACAAGTTAGCAAATTAGCATTTCCATCGGTTCCATCATTCTTTGATGTTTTTTTTTTAATGAAGCATTGGTTATATGGCTGAAATAAGGCCTGTGGTGAACACAAGCTCGATATTTCTTAATGGTTTATTCTAGGACAAGTAAATAGGTTTTACTTGTCTTGAAAAAGGTGGTTGCTAATACTAGTCACTTTCACAGCTGCGTTGTGTTTATAATCTCACACTTGCAAACTATTCTTGCAAACTCAAACTTCAGGGATAATGTGTTTTAAATACAGACTGAAAAAAGGTCTCTGAAGTTGGGATGAAATGGTTACCGGTTTGATGATAAACTGATAAAAAGTCCTGACGGTTAGTATTACCATTTCAAATTCGAATTATTATTAAAACCGTGTTTGATTATCGCGATTTGAAAACTAAATACTTAATAAATACTTCTCAGCATGTTGTAACATGCTTCGTATGAAAACATGACGGAAGGCAGAGTGAAAACAATTATATGAGAGAATTGTATGATGGAATTCTATAAATGCCTAAGGGGGATCCGACTGTCTTCAAGAAAGTTTCGATGTTATTTTCTTTTCATTTTCCCTCTGTAATGCCTAATAAACTAGTGTTTATAAGCGCAGCGCTGCTTTGTTTACAGAGGTTATTTCTGTTCTTCCATAAGCACCACCTGCTGTCTTGAAGATTTATATTTTCATTTAGCCTGTCTGTTATAACATGTTATGTTTGTCACCCAGCCAATAGTTTTTGTTTGATTAAAATCCAGCCATCATTTTTTTGTTTAATTTTAAAGTTTATTCAAACAAAAAGTGCATAGTGCGACCCATTTTACTTGTGTATGAGTACTTTTTCCAACATTTCCTGCACATTTTAACAATATTAATAACCTTATCATTTTGGCCACTATAATCATGATATGAAAATCCTACTGGGCTTTTGTTGAAAGAATCAGAATGATGCGAACTGACAAGTTGGCCTACAAAAACACGTCATCACTGAGCGCCTCTGTTAGTGCCTATAAATAAGCTGTGCTGATTTTGATTTATCCAGTGACTTGAATAGTTTGATTCTGTTCATCAAAATGTTTTGTACACTGATTCTTTCAGTGAGTCTTTCTGTAGGTTACAGAAAGTGTCGTCTTATTAATTACATAGCACTTTTAATGATGCTCAGCAAAATTTGTGGGCAAAATCCAGTCATTTTACTAAGGATCCACACTATTGTGAGTTTCAGTGAGGGGGGAAATGTTCCACACTCAGATTTCATTCATGTTCAAGCTATTTTTTTATGTCAATGTTCTTTAATGTTTTTTTTTTTATTTATGTTTTTGAGTGTTTTAAGTCTCTTCAGTTTTTATGCTCACCCAGGCTGCATTTATTTGATCCGAAATACAGTAAAAACGGTAATATTGTGAAATAGTATTACAATTGAAAATAACCATTTTCTATATTTGTTAAATGCTGTGAACAAAGCTGGGTTTTCAGCATCATTACTCTAGTCTTCAGTGTCACATGATCCTTCAGCAATCATTCTAATATACTGATTTGCTGCTCAAGAAACATTTCTGATTATTATCAACAGTTGTGCTGCTTCATATTTTTGTGGAAACCATGATATGCTACCATTTATATGTTTGGGGTGAGAAATTAGTATTATTCAGCAAGTTTATAATGTTACAAAAGCATTTGAGAATGATTTCTGAAGGATCATGTGACATTGAAGAATAGAACAGTAGTCCTAAATCCTATTAATATTTTTGCTTTGAAAAGTTAGTGTAAGTGTTTTAACAAAAATACAAACTGCACACTTCTGCTTTTATACCCCATGAATACTGTAGACTTGCATTGTAAAGCATATTCTTATATGATTTTCTGTTTTTACAAGGAAAAGTATTTACAACTTACTAACTTTTTTATTTTATTTGAAACAGATCAGAACCTAGAACATTGCTTAAAATATGCTGGTTATTGTTACTAAGTTACGAGCTGGTTTCAACCACAGGAAGATAACACTGCCATTCTAATTTTTATTAGTATTACTATTATACTTTTATTATATTTCTGATATTATGTTAAAAACACTATTGCAGCTTGATGTGCAGCTAAGTAAAACATTTATAGATACAAAGTATAAACCTTGTTGCTCTATCAAAGACATTGCTCTGTTTGTCTTTAACATAACCTTTAAAAAAAAAATTTTTTTTAAAGGCAATATATATATATATATATATATATATATACACAAAAAATTTTATGGGAAGCCATTGACTTGTTAACAGTAGCTTTTAAAAATCTGTAAAAATGTTGTTGTACAGTTATCTTTTGAATATATGAGGTGTTTGCACATGCAAGAACAATGCCATGAACTGAAATAAAACACACCAAACATCAGATGAGCCACTTTTATTTCATCCAGTCATCCAGAGACATTTATTGCAATGACACTTTCTGGCTTGGCAATCCTGTTTTTGTGTCCTTCATTTTCCTTACTGTTTTTCATAAACTCATGTTATCAGTTTGAATTCTTCAAAATCAATCCACATGCCTGCTCAGAGTTGAACAAACTTGGGCAATTTAATAAGAGTTTCAAGGTTGCTCCTTTTTTTTTTTAATTGTTTTTTTTTTTTTTTAAAGAGTTGTTTTCTTATCTTAAAGGGGTGGTTCGTTGTGATTTCACTTTTTTAACATTAGTGTGTAATGTTGCTGTTTGAGCATAAACAATATCTGCAACGCTATGAAGCTGAAAGTTCAATGCAAACGGAGATATCGTCTTTTAAAATTCTGGCAGTTTAATGCCTACAAAAACGGCTGGTTAGGGACTACAACAAGTTACTTCCCGGGTTCGTGACATCACAAACCCAGATAAACCCCGCCCTCGGGAAAAGGCAGCAAAGGGGGTGAGGCCATGCTGCGCTGCTTTAGAGAAGAGGAAGAGAAAACTAGAGATGCACATAAAAATCTATTCATATATGAATCACGATTCTGTCTTCTAACGATTCTAATTGATTCACAAGTTTCAAAATCAATGTTCTAAAGCAACGGTTCTCAATACTGTTCCTCACGTTCTCCTGCCCTGCATCTCTCTCTCAGCTCAGCTATAACAATGAACTGTTCCAATTATACACTTATTTTCACATAGCTATGAGAAGCGTTAAACATGGACGCTTGCAGTTGCCGTACTGTATTAAAGCTTTAATCAGGATAAAACCGTATATTAAAAGCTAACATAAGCAGTAGCATTTACAAATAACAGCTTATCTAAAAGTATGAGACAACAACAAACAAAAAACATAGGCCTACCATTAAAAGCCGTGCTTGCACAGGTTCTGCACGATCCTCTTCAATAATATCCTCTGCTTCTCAATCGGGCTCAAACTGATAAGCGATATTAACAACGCCATTGTTTACAATACAACCGGAGCACATGCCGCTGAGGTGAGGGGCGGGACGTTTAGAGACGGTTTAGCCAATCACAACACACTGGGCTAGCTAACCAATCAGAGCCCATCGCCCATTTCCGAGGGAGGGGCTTCATAAAAGAAGGAAATGATCAGTGCGTTTTTCAGAGAAGAGACAGAACGGTGTGGAATAAAGGTAAATTATGTGAAAAATTATTTTTAATGTTTAAAAAAACAAAGCATTGCACATGTTAGACTGCACCCCATAAACACAATCAATCCTAGAAAAAACCCAGTGAACCAACCCTTTAAGGTTTCTGTGCTGCTCAAACCCATCAGTCTCTTTCAAACAACAGCCTCAAAGACCCTTCCAAAGGCCTGTTTCTATCTTATTATTCTCTTACAATTTTAAAAACAAAACCTTACTACTAAATACTTCATTGATGGCTTCTGTGCTCTAGTAAACAAAGGTACAGTATAAATGATAACACACATCTATTAATACATTTTAAATATTACCAAAATAATTTATTTTTCATTGGTCATTTAGTTTTTGGAAATGGTTCCTTATAGCCCATTAAATAGGGTCTCAAAAAATGTCACAATTCCCATCCAAATGAGAATTGGGTTTTAAATGAGCTAATCCATTAAAAAAATGGTCCTAAAGTATATTTATTAATATATAATAAAATATTACTTATTTCTTTAGATTTTGGAGTGAAATACTTAAGATTCACCCATTAATCAGGATGTGTTGTTCTTTAATGTCAAAATATTAAATATTATTGACTATTCATCATTTTAACTTTTTTAATTTTAACAAACTATTGCCCAGTGAAAAATGAAAAAAAAAATAAAAAAATATCCCAGTGCACATGATTTTTCATTTCTGAATGTTAAAATTTATTTTTAATGCCAAACCACTTCATGACCTGAGACAGAAAAAAAAAAAATCTAAGTCTATAATCAACATAATCTATATTTTTGTTTTAACTTCCAACCAGTTATTAGTTTGTTAATATGAATGTCAAATGCCTGTCTTTAATCTCATCAAACACCTCTCTTATTATGCTGGTCCTGTACTTCACTGATGGCTTCCCAAAATTGGTTTGCATTCATATTTATCTCAACACATACAAATATGGTCTTAAAAACATCTGATTTCTCAATTCTTCTATGCATGTTCCCATTCGCAGTTTGGTCTCTCATTTTGTATTGTTTGTGTCTGGTCAAGTGATATTAAGCGCTGATCTTTTCTCTGTTGTTTGCATGTCATCCTTGTGTTACCGCAAGACTACGGTCCAGTCTGCCGCTGCGTTGACCCCTGGCTTACGTAGAGTCAAAACTGCAAGTGTAGAGTCAAACTCAAACTCTAAAGCAGACTCTGTACCATCTGAAAACGAGACAAAAAAAAACAAAACTCCATATGTTGTGCAAAGTCAGTGGTTTTCAGCGGGTCTTACTTCAGGGCCCAAATTTACTTTTGTACAATAAACATTTTGATACTTTGAGTTGTCCAAAGTGGAGAAAAATATTTTTATTACTATCAGCAGTAAATATAAGTACAACTGTGTAAGTGTTTGGTTTCTAAATTTTGTCAGCATCCAATAAATCAATAAATAACTGCACAAAACGCATTTTTGACAGCAAAAACCATTATCCTTGTTGTATGTGAATCCTTATTTAAAGTTCACCCA